TGCTGGACCCGCACCGCGTGGCCCTCGCCGTGCGCGTGCCGCCCCGGCGCGTGGGCGTCCTCCTGGACTGCGACGCGGGGACGCTGTCCTTTTTCAACGTGTCCGACGGCTCACACATCTTCACCTTCACCGACAAGTTCTCGGGGGCGCTGTGCGCGTATTTCAGGCCCAGAGCCCACGACGGCAGCGAACATCCAGATCCGCTCACCATCTGCCCGTTGCCAGTTGGAGGGACCTGCGTCCCCGAAGAAGAGGAGGCCAGTGACGCCTATATACAACCCTATGAGCCCTAGGACCCCGCCCTGGGCCGGTGGCGCGGCGCGCTCTCGTGACCGCAGGACCGGGTCCCCGGCGGCTTCCTGGGTACCCGGCTCCTGCTTTGCCCTCCCGCTTCCTCTAGAGTAAGCAAACACGCCGACCGCAGTGCAGTGTCAGCATCGACGTCAAACTGCCAGCAAAGGCTAAAAGCCTCAGTGCAGCAGAAAAGGGGCAAAGGGTGACCTTTGCCTCTGTAGACTCGTGTGTGCACGTGTATGCATATGATTTTCTTAAAAAAAAAAAAAGGTAATTCCAAAGCTCATTTGTGTGTATTGTAGGATGGAGCAAATGAGGAAGAAAAAATAAAGATTCATGTGCCTCGGTGTTCACTGTGGAAGAAGGGAAAGAAACCGAAATGGGGCAAGCAGAGGAGAAAACTTTATTGGACAAGGGTAGAAGTATCAGTTACTTTGTATATTTTAATATTTTTTGTATATATTTTCCAGCTCTAGGAAGGTGTAGGAGCAACACCACCTCATTCGTAAGCAATGAGTTCACACAGGGCTCAGATCCTAGTTTTCAATGTTGATTCCCACTGAAACGAACTTGGAGAAAGGGTGAGTTCCAGGCATGGAGCAGAGAATGCACAGGTAAATCTGGAATATCTTCTGCCTCATGTACAAATGTGCTCAAAAACTGGTGGGGTCATAGCAAGAAGGAGCTGGGTCGAAGCTGCTCAATTCTGGGACAATTTGAACGTTAAAATGAATAGTGACAAGAATTGCTCAACAAGGAGTTGATGAAATAAGAAAATTTACTACGTGTGCTGAGAGGTTTCTTCAGTCAGAGAAAGGAAATAAAAAAAAATACAGAAAGGGGAAAGGAGAGAATGAAAGTAATTGTGAACTCGTGGTTTTTACTATGTAATAAATGGAACACACATATGATAGATAGATAGGAAGATAGTGTGTGCACATATGTATAGTTCCTAGGTCTGTCTGCTTTGAAGGCTTAAAATCAATAACACCCTATAGCAATGAGCACACCTGTCACCCAGTACTTGGTTTTTTTAGTACTATTTACCACTGAAAGGAACCAAGACTCCTTGGAGAAATGGCTGAGTCCAGGGCTGGGGCAGGGAAAATACAAGATGGTTGTGATAATCTGACTTATATTAAGAAGTATTTATTTGGCCTTCAATCTAAATTTTAGAACTGGGCTTCTAAACCCTTGGAATTTCCTGAGTGATAAGACTGATAAGGGTGTCTTTGGATATTCATAACAAGCCTCTTTTAACCACACCTGAGTTTATGTTAAATGAGATAATCTTGGAAAGCCAATAAGGAAGGGACTGGTTTCCAGGGGAACCAGCTGTGTGATCAGAGGGCTGTGATTTAGCCCCATCCCCATCCCTTACCTTAGGGAGGGGAGCGGGGCTGGAGTTCAGTCACCATTGGAGTGCCAGTGATTACATAGGCAGTCATGCCTATGTAATGAAGTCTTTCCATAAAAACCCCAAAGGACTGGGTTCAGAGAGCTTTCAGGTTGGCGAACACTTGGAGAGGTGCTCAGAGAGAGCAGGGAAGCTCTGTGCCCCTTCCCGCATACCTTCCTCTATGTATGTCTTCCGTCTGGTTCATGAGCTCTATCATTTTATAGTAAACCAGCTGTCTAGTTAGTAAACTCTTTTCCTGAGTTCTGTGAGCTGTTCTAACAAATTAATAGGACCCAAGGCAAGGGTCTTGGGCATCTCCAGTTTACAGTGGGTCAGCCAGAAGCACAGGCAACCTGGACTTGCAATTGCTCTGTGAGGAGAAGGGGGAGTCTTGTAGGACTGAGCCCTTAACCTTTGGGATCTGACACAATCTCTAGGTAAATGGTGTCAGAATTGAGTTAACAGCTTGAAGGTGTTGAAAAAAAATAAAAAGAAATACAGCAGAAGGGGTCTAAAATATCTTCTACCACAAAGTAAGGAAGTCCTCAAAGAATGATGGGGAGATGTCAACTGGAGAGAAAAGCCAGCCTGAAGGGACTCCCGCTGGCTGGACCTGAACATCAAAGCAATTCATGGCAGTTACAGATTGAGTAAAGCAGGAATCTAAACTTATGTATATCTACACTGATAAGCATAAATAAATGGGGGAGAGGAGAAAGTCTCAACACAAAATACTACTTATTTCAAAAGTACCAAACACATCAGCTTTACAGTGAAGGAGCCTGGCAGACTCCATCTTAACCAAGTGACGACTTAACATCACCAGATATGCCATAAATTTATGTGATGTGTCTCCTGGTACAGTATGGTGAGAGGACTACAACAGCATAACTTTTGAGGTATTCCTGCCCCCAAAGTTGATGCATCAGGACGAAACATTGGACAAACCAGCTGATACTCTTCAAACATGTCAAGGTCAAGAAAAAAAAAAAAGATAAAGTAAGACTAAGAAATTGTTCCCAACTGAAGGAGACTATGACAACCAAATGTTATAGATGACACTGGGTGAGATTCTAGACCTACCAAAGACATTATTTGGAGAAAAAAGAGACACCTGGAAAAAATACCTCTGGATCAGATAGTGGTGTTGGATAAATGTTGATTTCCTGATTTTGATGTGGAAGAATGTCCTTCTTTTAAGAAAATACACACTTATGTGTTAAGGAGTAGTGGGATATGATGGTCATTTTCAAATGGTTTATTCAAAAATATAGTAATACATGGAGTGAATGATAAAGGAATACAGAGGTGTCTGATAAATAGTTAATAACTGACTTTCTGGGGGAAAATAATCTGCAGTGTTTGCTAACTTCTGTGGTGCAAGTAGTCCCACTGTGGCTGATTTCAAGTTGCAGATGTGACTTCACAGATGGAGTTGGGAAAAGATCCCCTTGATAGGCTGTCATGGGACGTCAGCTCCGGCGCGTCACTGGGTTTATAGCTTCACGTATGGTATTTGATCTATTGCAATTTCTCCACCAAATCAAATACGTGCATTTTTTGAGCTTATGAAGGTATGCTTGGCTGCCTGTGATGATAAAATGATCGCCTTATTTATGTACCATGAATGATATTCAGAAAAAGGAAGTTTTATTTTCTATAACCATTCACATTGTGTGCAGATATTTTAGGATCCAAGTCACAAATGCTTTTGTGATAACATCTAAAAATATGTTCCTTGACCATATGTAACCATGATCTATTCCTTTAAGATTTGTGTGTATGAAAGAATAAAAGCAAATATATGGCTGATACAAAAGGCAACACTAAATTATTTAAATAACCAATAGCTCCATTAGCACATTTTAAATAATGGGGAAGCCCAGCCTTAAAGTTGAAAGGGATCTTAGACATTCAGCTACATGTTTTGTGAACCACAAAGGCCATGCTGGAGGCCACCTAGGAAGCTGGAACTTTCAGAATACACACCCATCTCTTTCCAGCTCATGCCCCGTGACCTTCTGGACAGATTCTAAAAGTAGGACATGGTATATTCAATTCTCCCCACAGTTCACATTTGTTGTGCAACTATCCCTCAGAAGTTGGAAAGGGGAAAAACACAGCACTTATGTGTGGATCCCAATCGAGTGTCCAAAACACAGCTGTGATGTGAGGCTCCCCCAGTCTGAGGCAGCCTTTGGGATGGTTAACTCACGAAGACTGGTAGAGCTGAGAGAGGACTTCGACTCTGACAGCAGGGAACGCGTCAAGCTATCATTGGCTCCATAGGAACCTTACATGGGAAGACAAAGATTTCCAAGGATTGCGCCCATTTTTGGTGGGCTTATAAATTGGCGCAGCCATTCTGAGGTCAATTTTGGTAACATCTACCAATTTTTCAACATGGACATCCTCTGATCAACGATTCCACGTCCAGAAATCTGTTCTACAGAAATATTCACACCTATGTGTAAAGATACAAAAGGATGCTCACTGCAGCAGTGTGAAAGCCGAGGTTGGGGACCACTTACTGGTTGCTAGGAGACCAGATAAATATGGTCTGTTCAGACTAGGGGTTACTCTGGCCCTATACATTTTTATGGGGCACAGAAATTTTTACAGGGAGTGTATATTGCTTATTTAAAAAGCAAGCTGATGACTCTTTTCCTTCTGCCTCACTTTAATGGGAAAAAAAGTCACACGAACATCTTTTAAAACGTACCATTGAAACCATCTGATTGAACAGTCTTTTAACACCACAGGGTAGTAACTTGACACATTGTCACATCTGTTACAGTTTTCAAATCACTGCCTTTGATTGTCTCAGTGGAATCCTTCCTTCCTGTCCCTCAGTAGCATTTTGACCAGAGCACATCGTGTTCATATAACTTTGATTATTAAAGGACCTGGTCAGTTTGGAAACTCTGACCTCACATCTGTTTCTGACCCCCAGCAGGTTGGGGGCCTGCTGTGGTGGGGGTAGGGGTGCCTTCTGCCTCTGGAAACCCCCTCCTTCTCCTTCTCACAGGCTCTTGCTGTTCCTTCAGCACTGAGGCAGGAAGGGGAGATGAGACCAATGGTGCAGCCACAACCTCCCCTGGATCCTCCCTGTTCCTCAGTTCCCCCAGCTTTGGCTGAACCCTTAACCTCTGCTCCATCGTGCTCATGCCAGGACACCTCCACGTTTCTTTGATTCTGAATCCCCTCACTTGGCAGAAAGCATACTTGGGAAGGATGCAGCAAAGTGGCTCCATTTGGTTAGCTTCCCAGATGGTCTTTTGACTCGCGAGAAACTCACACGTGTCTGTGCTGAGTGCAGGCTGGGCATGCTGTCTCCCAGGACCACAGCTCCCAGTTTCCTCTTCCCCTGAGTAAATCAACAGTCCTACGAGACAAGACGCCAAGGTCTTCTTGCAGGCACCACCAGAAGTCACACGATTCTTTGAGGGTTGGCTCCCACCCCCAGAGAAGATAACTGCCTCTCACAATATGCATCCAAACTCCCAAGATTTCAGTGACCCTCCCTCCCGTTTCCTTCCCATTTCCTGCCCCGCAAAGGAAATGACCTACCTCTTTTAACCGCTAATTTATTTCACACATCTGTTTCTTTTTATTTACAGCTTATGGTCAACACAAATCCATCCTATAAAATGAGAAATTATGAAGAATCAAAGCATAATCGTGTAAATTCAAAACAGATATTCAACACAAGAAATACAAGCATAAAAGCAGGTTCACTGGTGCACACACAGAAGCATGAGACGCAGCGGATGTTTTAAAGGACAGCGGGTGCTCGCTTTTCCGTTTAGGACTGTGGCCACATCAGATACTAGAATGCCTCGGCTGGTCAGTGTGCGTTTACCATGCAAGCCAAGAATTCATTTCTAAAAATGTCTTTCCGTGTTGAAACTGCTGTAATAGATCCACTTTCCAGAATTAAGCCTCTTCTCAGGCTTCATGCCAGTTTCTAACACCTAAAAACCAACTGATACAGAAAGTGTTCTAAATGTAACTATTCTGATTCTTAAAGGTTAAAAAAAGGTATCTTTGAAAATAATGTAAAAGGATTATTGCAGACAGTGATGCTGGTGCACTCCCAGCCTTACTCCGGCATGGGTGCCTCTCATTCTGCATCTGCAGCCATGGGCCAGGCCTTCACCACATCCCCACCACTCCCACCACTCCGCTTGCTTCCTCCCCTGGCTCTTCCACTGGCAGCTCCACCCTGGCTCCAGGCAGCTTTGCGTCTGGTGACCTTGCCAGCTCCCAAAGTCTTGGCTTGAAACTCAGTCCCACAGGGGCCAAGGCTCAGGACCTCCCCAACACTGACGAGACTTGGGGGGCTCCTCCTCCAGCCAGCAGACCCCTGTATATTGGCTGCCACAGTCGCCATCAGGCCGAGGAAATCTCCCAGTCATCTTCTTCCCCAGCAACAACTCAGAGAAGATCTCGTAGACCAAGGTCCAAAACCGCATCACTGTTGACACTCCGTGTATGTCACTTGCTGCTGCCTCCCTGGACATTCTCCAGACTTCCCCGGGAGGGGGCCCTTGGGGAAGAGCTGGTCAGTGAGAGACCCGGAAGAGCCCTAGGACTGGGAAACAGAGGGGCAGCAGGTGAGCTGGGCATTGGCCAGAATCTATGTAGGGCCTGAAGCTGGTTTGAGAATGGTGAACCCCACCTGTCATCTGCCTTCTGCTGCTCTGGAAGGCCACAACCTCATTGTGGAGCCATTTACTGACCACAGTTTTAACTGTCATACTCTTGCTGCTCTCAACAGCACAAAGAAGCGAGAGACGGCACCACCAGTATGAAAAAAACAAAACAAAAAACAAAGTCAATGAAGGGAAATAGGTCCTTTAAGTGGAATTAGGTCCCTCTGGTGGCAGCCAGGGTAGGGAACCTTGGGCACGGTAACCCAGACTTCAGATTTCTACTCTGCAATATTAAAAGCTTAGAAGCATCACTCACACTCTTACAACAAGAAAATAATTGAATAAACTGAAAAACAGTATCTCTTCTTAGATCCACCAGAGAACTGAAGTCACAAGGCAGGCTGTTACCCTGAAAACTGGAGAGAGAGGCAGATACAGAGACTCACAGCTTACAGGGACACCAAGAGGAGAAGCCTGCTGGTGGAGCCAGCATGGGAAGGGACACAAACTGTAATTCACCAGCTGCTAGAGGTAGTGTGTGGACTAGCTTGAGAGTTCAGAACTCCAGGGTGGGGACCACTTTTAGCCACTGCCCTCTTTTCTTGAGTTTTACTGCCAGGAGCCCCACCAAGATCTCCCTGTGAAGACTGGAGGAAAAGTCCCTCATGCTTCAGCAGGAACAGTGTAAAAGCAACCATTTTGGAATCTTCCAGAGCAAGCAGTCTGTTTTTCCTCCAATTCTCTGTAACAAAGGGCAGCACTTAAAGGAAACTACTTTAGCTAACCTGGGGAGGGGCAATTAGCCAATTCCAGCCAACTCTAGCCTTCCTGTCATATAGAAGCAGGGAGTGGGAAGCTGAGAAGCACTTATAAAGGTCATATCCCAGGGGCCCAGGCCCAAAAAAGACTGAGACATATTCATAGGCCCATAGAATGTCCCCTCTCCCCAACACCTTCTTCTAAAACAGCAACAGAACCCCTGCACAATAACAGAGGATTAGGGTTGAAAAAAACTGAAAGGCTCAGATCAGACTCTACGTAACAAGGACTTTCTAAGGGAAACAGAAACAAACACTAGAGGAAACTAACATCTCAGTCAACTGCAGCCACAGCAGACAGCAAGCACAGCTGTGACTCCCGGCCAGATAAACACAAGCCACTCTACAATCAGTTTACCTGGTTTCTGTTACCCAATACATCATGTTCAGTTTTCAGCAAGACTTACAACACATGATAAAGTGCAAGGGGATAAACAGTCTGAAGAGACGATGCACTTAGCAAAACCCATGTAATACACACCACCAGGAGAGAACCCTAACGTAAACCTTAGGGACTTTAGTTAACAATAATGTGTCAATACTGGTTCGTCCGTTGTAACAAATGTACCGCACCGATGCATTTTTGTAATAGAGGGAACTGTGAGTCGGGGAGGCAAGGGGCATACAGGAATCCTCTATGCTTTCTGCTCGATTTTCTGTCAACCGAAAACCGACCTATAATCAACCGAAAACTATAGGTCAATATTACTGAGTAATATAGATGCAACATTGACAAACCTTTAGATAGACTAACTAAGAAAGAGAGGAAGATGCAAATAAATAAAATTAGACTGAGAAAAAGAGAGGAAGACTCAAGTAAATAAAATTAGAAATGGAAGAAGAGACATTACAACCGATACTATAGAAAAACATAGAATCATAAGAGATTACTATGAACAATTATATTCCAACAAATTGTATCCCAACACAGAAAACGGTAGAACCAGACAACTTCACTGGTGAATTCTACTACACATTTAAGGAATTAACACCAGTACTCCTCAAACTCTTCCCATGGAAGAGGGAATAATTCCAAACTCATTTTACAAAGCCAGCATTACGTTGGTACCAAAACCCGATAAGGTTACCACAAGACAAGAAAACTATAGGTCAACATCCCTGATTAATATAGATGCAACAATTCTCAGCAAAATATTAGCAAACTGAATTAAAGAACACATCAAAAGAACTATATAGCATGACCAAGTGGGATTTATCCCCGTGATGCAAGGATGGTTCAACATATCAAGTGTAATAGACCACATCAACAAATGAAAGATAAAATCACAATTATCTAAATAAACACAGAAATAGCATTATCCTTTCATGATAAAAAAGAGAGAAAGAAAACCTTAACAGATTTGGTATAGAAGGAACATAATATAATTAAGGCTATATATGACAAACCTATAGCTAACATTATACTTAATGGAGGAAGATTGAAAGCTTTTCATTTAAGATCAGGAACAAGACAAGGATGTCCACTCTCACCACTTCTATTCATATGGTAGTAGAAGTCCTAGCTAGAGCAATTAGGCAAGACAAAGAAATAAAAGGCATCAAATTGGAAAGGAAGAAGTAAGACTGTTGGTATTTGCTGATGATTTGATCTTACACATAGAAAAACCCAAAGAGTCAATCGAAAACTAATTGCTTTAGCTAGGACTTCTAGTACTATATCGAATAGGAGTAGCCAGAGTGGTCTACTCAGCCACAAAAACAGAATGAATGAAACTTTGTCATTTGCAACAGCGTGAATGGACCTGGAAGGCACGATGCTTAGTGAAGTAAGTCAGACAGAGAAAGACAAATCCTGTATGTTATCACTCCTATGTGGGATCTAAAAAATGGAGCAAATGAATGAATATAATAAAACAGAAACAGACTCACAGATACAGAGAACAAACTAGTGGTTAGCAACAGTGAGAAGGACGGGAGGAGGGGCAAGATAGAGGTATGGAATTAAGAGGTACAATCTACCATGCATAAAATAAAAAGGCTACAAGGATATATTGTATAGCACAGGGAACATAGCCAAAATTTTGTAAAACCTTTAGATGGAGTATAAACTATAAAATATTGAATCACTATGTTGTAACCTGAAACTGATATTGTAAATCAAATATAGCTCAATAAAAAATTAAAAACAAAACAACTCAAAAAAAGAGAGAGAGAGAGAAGACTATTAGAATTAATCAAATAGTTTTAGGTAAAGTTGCAGGATACAA